GTTATGCTCTTACTACCAAGCTCAGGATTCTTGATTTTAAAGGTACACGGATAGTTTGAGATATCTTATTGTTATTGATCTGTATGAGAGGTGGGTCTGAACCATAGGGACTTCCATTGTCTTACGCTAACATAAAGAATTGAATGGCTGCAACGTATTGAGTTCTGTTACAAGACAGTTAGGCATATTTTGGATTATATTTGGTAAAGTTTGGGTGCCTGTGAATGATTAAATACATGTTTCTAATATTTTAGTGTTTTATATTTAGGTTATTTATTCTTTATATCTAAAAAATGAATGGCTACTGTGCTATATTGATTTTATTGGTAGTACTGAGCAGACCTTGTATCTGCATGAAACTAGTTGCAAAACCCACTATTTTGGAAAAAAAAATTGTATTTTGACATATACAAATAAAAGGAATACAAACTATTTTAAATGTGTGAAAGTTTTACTGAGAAGACATTGAAATTTGTTATGAATTTAAACCATGTTATAAGTTGCTATTTAAATTCTTTGGTGGGCATTTTTCATTCATTGCATTACTTGGATGCAAAGTTCAAGTACCTTTCAAAGATTGTAATCAGATTGTGATTATTTGCATATCATTGTACATGCACATCTGTAAATGCAACAGTAAAAATGCCATATTTATGCAATCTGTAACAACTTGGACAAATGTTTATATATTTTACATAAACCTGTCTGTGTGCGGAATCTGAGAACCATTTTTTACGTGATGTTAACCGAATCTCACAAAGCAATTGCTAAACTTGTGTCGCTGTCTCATTGTTCTTGATTGTGTTGAAGATGCAACACATCCCCAGAAAATCCGGCTACCACAGAGGGAAAAATGGGTTTTGGACAACTATTATTGTTTAGGAGACAGCCTGCATTCAAGGAATATATTATTGCTGGCTGCTGACTGACAAGCTTCCTTAAGTGACTAATGGCTTCAATGGTTGCTCAAAACAACAACTTAGATTTTCAGGGGACTTGTCACAGTGTGGAAAGGGATCTCCTAAGTCCAGAATTAACATCAAATACACACAGAGGCATGGAATTAGCTGGTGTGGAGAGTGAAGAGAAAAAGGGCCTGCCCAGAACCACCTCCAACCATGAAGTGAGCCATAGCCTGGGGTGGAGTGACCACAGGTGGGATAGCAGCACAGGCAGCAGAGAGCAAGGAGAGGGGGGGCAGCGTGGCTGCGTAAGGCCTGCCTGATCTTAATGGCTCCAAACAGTAGTAGTTACCTAGAAGAAAAGACTCAGGAGCTGGAATTTCATCTTTGCCCATGTTGTCTCCTTTACCATAAACAATTCCCTCTGAGCCTCCCTAATTCCTACACCACTTTCAGACTTCTGCTATTTCCTTGCCAGATCCCAAAATGAGCAGTTACGATTCATATTGTGCAGGTTGGTGCATTTCTTTGCTCTGCACAAAGTACAAAATGTGAATCTCAGATTTCCCTCTTTTAGAAACATCTTCCATTCTAAACTTTGGGTTGGGCTCAGATGAACATCAAACTGGTGGGTATTAATCCTACCTGTCCAGAATTCCTAGCCAAATGTGTTCCCATAGATGTCCTCTCATTTCTATTTTAGAAAGAGTAGCTATTTACATTTTCTAGACAAGGAAAAATGTGAGCTTTTGGGTTGCTGAAGATACCTGCTCTAGGAGATATGCATTGAGGGAGAAATTTTAATTATTTCACCCCTGTCATACACAAATGGGCTCCTTATGAGGTGGCTCCTACCCCTGCTGCTTTACCCCTGCTTTACCCCTGTAAACCAGGAGGTTTACAGATGGCACCACAGAATGCCACAAACATCTGCATTGTGGTAGACTGGAAATCTGCGCTAAAAAAAGAGGAGGTGGTGAGAAGGAAGTATGCCATGATGTCACACTTGGAAAGGCAACACCATGTCAGAAAATGAATGGTTCACATGGAGAAAGGCAGGGGTTGGCATCAGAACAAAACTGGTCCCAAGTCAAGAGTTCAGGGCCTCATCACATCCCAGCTCCTGGACAGAAAAAGTTGTCCAGTGCTGCCAACAGTATTATTATTATTATTATTATGAGCTGCTGGCTCATAACACTGCTCAGAGAAGGTATTAATTTATTTTTAAATTGATTATTACACTGATTTGTACTTCATCTGGGTGATCCTGGAAGTGACTTGACTTTCTGCAGCTGGCTCTTTACCTTTCTTTTATGGCCATCTTGAGGTTTTACTCATCTGTGTAACACATCAGCTCCTCCAGAAAGGTACATGCACCCTTTTGTCTCTGCTGTATTGCTTGTTGTCTTGTGGCAGAAGTATAACTGAAGGTGGCCAAATCTGCCATGCTGGACTGTGGTGCAGCCTCCATCTGAGCCTCCCCAGAAAGAAGGGTGGGCAAGGGCTCTTCCCCTTTTAGTTGTAGCTTCAGCTTCTCTAACTTTACATGGTGCAGTGTGGCCAGTAGATAATGTTGATGCTTTAGTTGTGCATCTGTGAGATTAATAATGTTTTATAGATGAAATTTAATTGCCAGTTACAATCTAGAGGAGTGTCACAGCAAAACGCTACACAAATTCACTACATAATATACAGTTAAAAAAACCAACAAACTCCACAGCCATACAAACATTACAGATTTTTTTGTGGGCCTACTTTAAAGAGGGGGAAGAAACAATTGTCACTGCATTGTAGAGGGTTGCTTTCCCACTTGCTTTAAATCATTGAATAGTTCTGTTGCAGGTCTGCTGGTCACCTCTGTGAAACTACAGGGTTTTTTCCCACATAGGGATAGCCAGTCTGTTGGGGAACAGAACAAATGCTCTGAAGTTTTTCAGAAGAAGCTCTTGTTCATGGTTATGTACACACTTACATTTAGATGTGGTGATTCAGCTTCCTCAGGTTCTTAGGTCAAAGGCACTAATAACACGAGTAAAAAAATGCTGGCAACTGCAGTTACTTGCTTTACATCTGTTTTGATTGCAGGAGCAGCAGTGGAGTTGGTTAGAGACTAACAGCAAGTAGCATTGTGCTCGGTTGGCCTCAGCATAGATGTAAAGTAAGGCTGGAACAGTCCTAAAGGTGACTGCAGGTTCTTGCACAGAATTAAAAAGCAAAACAAAAAACAAAACCTCCCAAACCCACAATGAATTGCTCACACTTTAAAGGGAGAGCTGCTGCCACACTGATGAGGTAATCAGCTATTCCTGCTTGTGTCAGCACCTCTCCATTTTGTATCACTGATTAGATAGGAAAAGTATGTAGCCTTTAGAAAAAGGAGGAACTGTTCAGTTCTTTCTGCTGAAAATATTACCTGTTGGATGTCTAATGTTTCTCATCTGGCCCAGGGACAATTACAGCAGGGACAAAAGCCCCACATTCCAACTCTTAATTATTTCACCCTTCTTCCTTGGGTTCTACACGTCTGTTTTGCAAGCCTATTAAAGCTTAGCAGAAATGGTTAGCCAAGACCGTGCAATTCATCTCCCAGTGTGGTCTTTTCCCTTTACTTGCTGGAGAAAAAAAAAAAAACAAAAACCGAAGTACGGTGTTGGTGGGAAAGAACCTGTTTATTTCCTTGGTCTTCTTCCAGCGTCTTTCTGCACTCCTCCTGTTTCACTACAGAGTCCTTGGAGCAGAGACTCACTGGGCTGAATTCCTCTTTTAGCAAACCAGTGCCTGCTGCGCTCCCTGGAGTGGGATCCCCATCTCCCCCCAAGCAGAAAAGAGTCCTGTTGCCCTTGTTTGTGGCTGCTTTACATATACCCCTGTTTTAGTGATATGTCTCTAGCTCCAGAAAGGACAGGCCTGATCTGAGGGAGTTGCTACACTGCAGCTAAAATAAAGCTACTGCTTTCTATGCATGGTTACCTAGGCCTGTACCCCAAGTCTGCCAAAGAAAAGTGAAGGGGTTAATAGCGGGTCTGTTAGCTCCCAGGATGGAGATATTGACTGGGAAAAGTTTCGAGTGTATCCTTGATGATAAGGAAGTCAGGACGCAGCCCTAATGGAGAAAACAAAGGCAGGCTGTAAAGTTGGTAGGCCTGGGATGTGGGAACTGCAGTAAGGCCTTGAGCTTTGCCAAATATATCACCCATAGATCCTAGCCAATGAAAACACTGTTGCTTGCCTACCTAAAATAAGGATACTGCTTGCTGCTAACAAGGGGTATAAAAAAGCAGATGAGAAAATAAAAGAGAAGGAGACATCTTTTCTGCACATAACTGACTCCTTGTATCTTTATCGGCCGTCACAAGTCTACACTGACAGAAAAGAGCATGACTTTTTACATCAGCTGGTACAAAATACACATTTACACAAAATTTACACAGTATACACATCTTGCCACACAGTCTAGTCACTGCTTGGAAAGAAGATTTAATGCAAAAATTTGTTTAAATATAAAAATCCACATTTACAACTGCTGATGCAGTGGGCGTGATTCTTCAGCTGTTATCAGCTCGCCTCTCTACTTTCAGCTGTATGAAATGCAGCAAATTAGACTAAGTTCTTTCCTCCCACTTAACCCATGGCTATAGGTGATGAATTATGGTAAGTAAATTGCCCAGTAACTCATCCTCAGCTCCCCTTGTATAAAATGCCGATTGTCTATGAAAATAAGAGAGCTTTCACTACAGGTTTTTATGATGCTTCTTTACTCCAATGTGTAAAAAGAAGGCACAACTCTACTTAAAACTATAAGGGGGAAGGAGCGGAAGCAATGCCGCTGAAGCGCTAATATTATTTCACCAGTTTCTGCCTAGAAATAATGACACCGAGATCAGTTTTCAGCCCGTGGAGGAGCCCCGAGCGGGGAAGGGCCGCTGGCGGGCGGCGGAGCCGGGAGGTGGCACCAGACGGCTTCTCTTTTCCTGGGCTGCTCCGAGGCTCGTCCGCGGCTCCGTCTGGGCTCCCCTTGCGCTCCTCTCGGGCTCCGCCGCATCCCCGTAGGCGAGCTGCCGCCGTGCCCCGGTCCGTGTGCGTCTGGGAGGCAGCAGCATGGCTTCTGCACTTCCCGTGACACCTGTACGTGGGAATGGCTCAAACGACAGTGGCTCGAGGAAACTGCTGTAAGTTGAGCCAGGTCTAGTATGACCGATGAAGTGTGGCAGAGAACAGCAACCTCAAATTCATTGACACAAGGAATGCACTGAGTTAGTCTGAAGGTGGCAAGGACTACTTCTAAATACCTTATACCGAAAGCCTGGGAAAGGAGCGTTAACACCCTGGGAAGGGCAGAGCGCTCTTGGCTCAGCTGGTGAGCTGAAATCGATCCCAGTAGGAGGCAGAAACTGTAATACAAGGAGGGCCAGTGGGTCTGGCAGGATGGATCCCTCTGTGAGCGCAGGCAGGGACCCATTGCACAGCGAGTACTCCCATACTGTGTGAAGAGACAGACTAGGACTGGACACCTAGCACCACAGGATGGCTCTGCTACAGCTAAGAGGGACAGCAAAAAAAAAATAATCCTCTGTATCAAAAGTTGTCAAGCCAGCAGTTCATAGCAGCATTGCACTTGGCTGAAATGCCAAAAGACTGAATAACTCCCTCTTGCTCAACCCCCTTTCAGTATGATCACGATATGTGTTGCTTCTTTTTGTAACCAGAGCGCTCTGTACACTGTGAGGTCCTTGTAGTTCTCCCTTTGCTACCTTCAATCTCTCCTCTGGTGCAGCACACCACAGGCACTCATATTCTCATCTCCTCAGCCTTTTCTTCTTCTCAGCTCTGCATGCATAGGGTTCTGCCCCTATTTCCAGTCTACCATGTACAATTATTTTCTGTGCCAGAAAAAGCTTTGAGGTCTAATTACATTCCCTGTTAACCCTGGTGATAGCCATAATAACCAAAAGATCTCAAAAGCCACTTCCCCTGGGACCTTGAGCACTGTCTGAATTTCCCTTTGTATGGGGAGTGGCACTCAGAGTTGCTACATGCAGACACTGAGTACAATAACTCCCTTCATATTTTACTAACAAGTCACTACAAGCTTACCAACATGCCACAGCTGCTGGAGAGAGCAGCCTCTCCTCCATCTTCCGCTCATCTCAGCTGTCAGTTTTCTCAGTCACTCCTGTGTGCCACCCTGATCATCGAGACCCTGCCCTGACCATTCAGTTCCCAGCACTCTCATTCAGTCCTTCTCGTACTTGCTGCCTATTTCTGGCCCCTCAGACCACCTCCCATGCTTCTGCTTGCTTCTTGCACTTTCTAATCATTTGCCACTTCTCTCTCTTGTTTCATTCCCCCTGCAGACTCATCATTGGTTATTTCTGCCAGAGCTCATTGCTCCACAGTTGTATCTGTTGTTGAATCCTCTGCTGTCCACAATTCCTCACTCCACAAGTCCAGCAGCCTCAACACTGTGTGCTTTCCCTCCATCTCTGTTCCTCACCTCCTGCTCCCCCTTTCCTCACACTGCTTTATCTTGAGATTCTCAGATTCCTACTGGTTTCAAAGACCCCATTAGTCTTTTCTTGACCACTGGGTCTTTGTTTTTCACTGATAATCTAATCTTTGCTCAGCAGGAGTGTCTCTACCCAGCCACTGAGTTCCCACATACTCTTGGTTATCTCTAATGCAAGGGTTTGGTTTTACCATAAGCTAAACCCACTCCTAAAAGTCACCTGTTCCCACTCAATCCAATGATTCCCCTCCTCAGGAATCAGCACTATTTTTCATAGGCCCCTTTCCTATTTTTCTCCACCATACCTCAAAACAGTTTCCAGGGGGAAAGCAGTGAAAGCTTTTACACTTCTTTCTTGTTTTCAACCTATTGAAGTGTTTGCAGGCAAACCATAATTGACTATTTTTTAGTTTTGCTTCATCTCTTTTTGAGTGTCTAACAATAAAGCAAACCCATAAGGGGATGGCTGTTGGGTCCTAATGCTTGGGAATAAATAAACTTAGCATTGGCTGTGGGTTTGCTGCTGGGCAGGGTGAAGTATGCAGCTTGTCCTCTTTCAAGTCACTTTTTAATTTAAAACTTCTTTTTAATATGTATTTAAAGCTTGTCATCTTGAAAGAACAAATCATATATATTATGAGCAAATCACAAATTTTTTTTTAAGCATGTCCACATTTGTTTATGTAAAATCATTACAGTGGTACATAGATTTTTTTTCCAGTTGTTCAGAGTCTCAAACTTTTGTCCAAGATGTTTACAGTAGGGCCATGTATCATTGAAATAAATTTTGTAATATAAAATATCAACAAAATTTTAACAATAGGAAGCATATTTTATTTTTTATGTTCTTTCACTTCCTTTGTAGTCTGTTTGGTTTCATACACGCTCACTCCGAATTCTTCCAAGTGCTTCCCCCCCTTTGCTTACATTCACTGACACCACACTGCCATTGATTGATTGTTGTTTGTGTTTGCTTTGGACACTTCCAGATGATTGCTACTAATAACCAGTACTAAATTCCTGAAATATCTGCCTGTTTCTTTTTCCAAGGCAACTTCGTTATGGTCCATCATATGAAGCACAGTAGGCCCTAGAAATACTGTGGTGCAGGAGAAAAATAATCTCCAAATGAATGGGTAGCTCAAACAAAGCATTGTAAAAAGCCATCACACTAAATTCTGCATGCATCATCTGCTGCATTTCAGTGAAGGCCAAGTTTCTTAGTCAGCTCTCTGAGGAGATCCCTCAGCCTTAACTATGATTCTTTTGGGGCATAGTTTTGCGCCCGCTGCGCTTTCCTACAGTGTGCAGCTCATCACCTGCCTGAGGTTAGATCAAAAGGATGAGGTATAACAGTTTAACCAAGAGGTACACAGTGAGAATCGAGAGGCCTAATTAATTTTTACTGACTTTGTACTGGTTCATCAAAAAATCAAAATAATTTTTATGAGGCAGAGGGCTGTTAATTAAAACAAAACAAACCCACAACACAACAGCCCTGAAGGATTATGAATTGTAACCAGTACCAACAAGACAAATGACAGTGAGCCAGTAACCACTTGATTTGGTTTCTAATTATTCATTTGTGTACTTATATTTGGAGATACAGAAAGACAGAAACAGAATTGTCGGTGGTGTAGACCAAAATCTGTTTAACAATGTTTTAAAATTATGATTTAGATGTATAGAGGTCATAGAAGTATCTTGAGTTGGAAGGAACCCACAAGGATCATTGAGTCCAACTCTCTGATCCTTGCAGGACTACCTAAAACTAAACCATACGACTAAGGGTCCAGGCATATGGTCAGAGGATGCTGTCTTTAAGAAGAATGAATAGGCTCCATAGGTGCTGGAAACATATAAAAAGCAACAAGGGTAGTGTTATCCAGATAACTTAAGGTTATCTTCTAAGGGTAGCTTACACCTACGATATTATTTCTGTCATATGGATAATTACAGTCAGCTCTTCATTACCAAGGTGATAGTATCTTAGATGGCACAGCAGCAAGGTAACCTGGCAGCCTCTCCACTAATGAAGATGGTGGCAGCACAGGTGCCCATGTGGTGTATTCCCAAGAACTCAGGACTCTAGAGGACAACATGACACAAAGACATGCCCTAGAAAACACCTAAGACTAGCTTATGTCCATAAGACTAGAAGAGCTCTCTCTTGTGGAGGAATGCAAAGCTCTATTTTCTAAGCAGTTTGTTCCCAAAAGGGCAAGTGTGGAGCTGGACTAATAAGCCAGTATATAGCCAAATCCAATGCCTCTGTGTAATGCTCCCTTACGGCAAGGGCGCATGGGCATTCTGAAGGAGCATTTAAGTTTGACAGACTCAGTGCTGCTCAACTAGGTAGTATCATACCTTGGAAAATTTGTCCCAACATAAGTCACTTTACTTTTATCTGCACTGAATTCCATCTGCTACTTTATCACTGCCATTCAGTTTGGCAATTTGTTATTTTTCAGTTTCTCAATTTGTTGCGTTTCTTTCCAATACTGTGATTTTGAGGGATCCTCCATAATGAAGTGCTCTGGTGTGAAATGCTCCCTAGGATCATTGACAGTGATACCAAAAGTAGGGAAAAAGTGTCTCTTCCAAATGCTTCTTTTGCATGGTACATCCTCGTGCTACTGATCCACCATGAGGGGATTTGCTTCTATGCCTTTTGCACACTGGTCCTCAAGCATACTTATAGCCTGTCTCACAGCATCCACCTTCTCCTCCCTTCTTTCCCATCAGCACCAGATTTTCTCTACCTCCTTATACCTCACTGTGTAGCATTTTGACTGTGTCTATTTTTCCTTCCCTACTTCTCAACGAGTTGCTCCAGGGCACACTCGCCCGGTTGACTGTTCAAATCTGGCCCTACAAAGGACCTGTTTGGACAAAAAAAGAGGTTGCTCAACGAACTCTTTCAAAGCTATGCTGACTAAACCTCATCACAAATAGCAAGGAGTAGTAAGACAAGCTAAGTCATGGCTCTGTACCCTGCTACGGTGCAGGACATGAGCAGCAGCAACAGACCATCTTACAGAGTCAGACTGTAAACTGTGGCAGAAAATGTTTCCATCATGCCTTTGAAGTCATCTGCACAGATACTGAATGCATTCCCATCCCCACTGTCATTCTTATCCAACAACTGCCAGCTGGAGACAGATGGCAATCTCTGCATTCATTTTTCATACTGTAAGATGAAATACTTAAAAAAATCAAGCAAACTTCTTTCTGTAAGTTTGTTTTTTGCCTTTTCATACTGCATTCCTCCATCAGCCAGATGAATGAACTTTGCTGCAAGAAACAACACTAGTTTGTCTGTCAAAACAAACCAGTCAAAGAAACTAGTTATTTTTGGTTAAATTATACCAGAGTTCAAGAATAGTAAAACAAATACAGAAACCAGACTAGAAGATGCACTCTAGGATTGAAAGGTTAAAGAAGAGGAATCAAGAGGGATAATCGTGCTATGCTTAAGGATTATTTTACTTTCAGGGGAGATTTGACATTAGAAATGTCATGGAGCATAAGTGGGAAGTTTACAGGAAGATTAGATGGAAGTTACAGCCAGAGATTTAAAGTGAAAGATTTAAAGAGAGGTTTTTGAAATTTTATGGAT